ATAAGAAAATGAAATATAATGTATAAACCGGGAGTTAAAAATTGTCGCTAATCCCTACATTTATAATCTATATAAATAACAAAACTCTCAGATAATATCTGTACAATTTATAAAGTATATTTTTTAATTTAATTTTGCATTAACATAAAAAATGCGTTCATTTGTGTTAATCATATTTATCGCTGTAATACTGACTGGAATTACATCCGCTCAGAGTAAGTATTAATAACAATTTAATGGACATGATAATTTTTAATTTGTATAATTAAAATGTACAGGGTGTATCAATGGTAGACATATCCGGTGTGGCAGTGCCTGTCCCATAACCTGCAATAATCATCGTAGTCCTCCGCGCTTTTGTACCTATAATTGTGTGCCGGGCTGTCAGTGCAATCGGGGGTATGTCCGACGGGACAAGTCTAGCAACCACTGTGTCCGACCCACAAACTGTCCCCGATTTCCGATTTGAGTTGAATTTATAAATAGAATTCTTTAAATTTCGTATTTTAATAAAGGTTAAATTATTTTTTAAAGTGCATTATAATTATTTTAATTTTTAAATACCGATAGTACAATATATAAACAGTATACATTATAAGCTAAACATAATACAATATAAACATTACTAGTATAAACAGTAATTAAAAAAATTGTGTGTCGGGCTGTCAGTGCGATCGGGGGTATGTCCTACGGGACAGGTCTAGCTACCACTGTGTCCGACCCCAAAACTGCCCCTAATTTTCTATTTGAGCTGAATTTATAAATTAAATTCCTTAAATTTCTTATTTTAATAAAGGTAAAATTATTTTGAAAAGTGCATTATACATTAATAATTTTACTTTTTAAATGCCAATAGTACAATATAATGAACAGTAATTGACATTATTATAAACAGTAATTAGATAGTTTCAATAACTTTATAATGTGTTAATATTTGTTCAATACTTTTTTTATGGAAACAAAAATTTAATACCTTTCGCCTTATATTAAAGCTGAAGATTTTTAATACTCATGTTAATAGTAACCCACTGCATTAACTCAGATTTTTATTAGTTTTTACAAACTGTTCAAAAGATCAATTCATATTATTAAACCTAAATTATAAATTTTATAAATAAGGGAAAATGTAATAACTATATCCAACAAAGTGTTATTTTTATACCGATAATAATGTGCCGGCTGTCGGTACAATCGGAGATAAGTCCATAGGGACAGACATAACCGCCTATGTATCAGACCATGAAAATGTCCTTGATGTCTCATTTAATATTTTTAAACTTATAAATAAAAATCATAATACTATATTTTAAAAAGATACCGATAGTACAATATATAAACAGTATACATTATAAGCTAAACATAATACAATATAATCATTAATAGTATAAACAGTAATTAAATACCTTTTACCTTATATTAAAGTAGTTAAAGATGCTTGATATTCTTGCTAATAGTAATTCAACGAATGAACTCAGTTTTATTAGTTTTACAAAGATCAATTCATATTATTAAGCCTCAAATATTTGTATAAATAAATGAAAATGTAATTATTATATGATATATCTCAAAAGTGTCATTTTTGTACCGATAATAATGTGCCGGCTGTCAGTACGATCGGGGCTACGTCCGTAGGGATAGACATAACCGCCTATGTGGCAGACCATGAAAGTGTTCCTCATTTGTTAGCACTACACTGCAATATCATATAAAACATTTAAATGATCTATTGCCATTATATGTTTAAACTAATTTAAATTATTCAA